ATAGTCTTATAAATAACGAAAATTCGGCCGAAATTATGAAATGGGAAAGGGCAGGGGGAAGTGAAGAGCGAAGGGGGTTAAAAGAAACGATAGCAAGTATGGCAAGAAAAGTTGGTTTTATTTTTCCATCTACTATATTTCAACATTAACCTCTAATCTCTTACCTTCTGTAGTCTTTTTTTACAACCACTCTCATTTCCTTCCTTCCTCTTCATCTTCCTCATGCAGTCAATATGTTCTTCTTGACGAAATGGGGCGCTGTACTGATGGTTCCGACCCCATTTCGCACCGATTCTGCCGTCTGTGTTTACAACTCAGGGATAAAACACAGACAGGTTACTAAGTCACTGCACATACAGGCTTTCTTATTTGGAAGATCTAAATGGCAGTTCCAGTTTTTCATTAATTATCAAAATCCGATTGTCTTCCTCTCCAAGGTAGGCCAATAACGCCAAACAAACTGCGTATGTGAAAATTTCAAACTCCCCATCCTTTTTCAGTCTCTTAGCTAGAGATATTCATTGTTTGTATCTTTAAAATTTTTACAACACTTGCTGTGCGACACAGTTTCGGGCAGTAGATTTTGGGAATTGAGTGTGAGGCAGCTGGCTGTCACACTTTTTATGTAGACTTTTCGTTCTCGCTGAAATCTCAAGACCAATTTTAAGACAGAACAAGACAACTTTTCATGTTAGATTTAATTTGATGTCATCTGGTATCGACAGGATACTCAGGTTCTTTTGTGGTTGATACGCCACATCATGTTTTTTGCCGGCTCCTTCGTATTCAGGAGAGTTTTGGTTTCCAGGAATGCTTGTTTTTTAGCCGCCTGAAAAGTGCTGCTGCTGACGAGTCTAATAAGTGTTCGGATGTTAAGTGCTGGAAAGAAACAGGAATACGATTGTTAAGTACCAGTGAGTGCCGTATCTATGATGGTGAAAATACGAAAATGGAAGAAGGCCCTCCGAAAAAACGGAAAAAGAAAAATATTGATAAAAGGTTTGTCTGGTATAACTTTCGTTTGGGGGAACAGAATATTAGCCCTTGCTAGCTTTGTGAAGGATCCTATCTGCAGTGAATTTCAGGGATATTTGGAAGGTGCTAGGTAGAGAGAGGGATAAATGATTAAGGATACAGCTGTCTCAAGAATTTGAGACATTATCAGTTTTGTATTTTGGATCATTTCTATTAATCCTACGCTTTCTTATTAATTATAAAGAAACGAAGTTGCTTTCATGCGATGAATTATGGAACTTCCTGCCGATGTGAATTACTGTTTACAGTTGTTCCGATTCAATGGACGAGCGTGCGAAGATACGGGCGGCTGTTGTCGATGTTGATTTTATCAAGCAGTTTCAATCCAGTAAATAGGTGGCGGTTGCATCGCATTTTATTTCAAAAATGTTATTTTTCCGGTGCTTCGTTTAGTGGCCGTGCTATATTTTTTCTTCGGTAAAAGAACATGGCCACTCAATCAGCACGCGGAAAAATGGCGTGCATGTATAGGAAAACGAAAAATATTGTCCAGAGATATGTATCGAAGGACATTGCACAACTGTATGTAACACGTGAACACATGATGCAGCTGGTACCAAACGTTTTATTTCTTTTCACGCCTGTAATATCACTGGAGATAACTGTAGATCGTTTGATAATTTTGTCCATATTTGTATTTGATAAAAAAAAAAAAAACTCTGAAACTTTGAACTGCTAACTGAACTTGCTTTATTGGTTTGTTCAGTTATGATTTCATCGCATCACAATCCAAAGTTGAGTTTCTTTCAATCTGTAGGATGAATGCGCCATTGGAAGCAACTGTTATTTTGAAATGAAATCTAATGTTCACAGATTTCTGGGATTCTGAGGATTTCGCTGGGATTTACAGGCTGTAAAACTTGAAAAATTTTACATTCAAGCATTATGTAACGAATTAGTTCTTTTGATAATTGCGGAGATACCGCAGGCAACGCAACTTATGAGCTCTGCCATAATTTTAAAGAAACAGATATCAACAGTCATATTCAGCTTTATCAACGTCTTGAACTTTTCTGAATAGCTCTAACCATAGGCGGACCCAGGACGAACTCCTGGGCGGGGCGACGGGGGTGAAGGAGCGGGGGAGAGCCCCTCACATTCTGGAACTATGCAAAAATCAGGAATAGAGTTGTAACACTGCTACTTAGAGTTACTTAGTTTTATTTGTGAACAGTCTCGAGCTTCTGCAGCACTGGTTCCTCCTAGATCTGCCTACAGCTCTAAAAGAATTTTATCTTTTCTATGTGCTATTTCTAAACTACGTAAAAATGCCTGTAAATTTCGCTGTGTACACAGGAAATCTCGCACACATGTACCATCTGCCAAGTCAGTAGGTACTGTTCAGAGTTCATATGAACTTTGTCATGGAGTCGAGTGAAATCAACCTCAGCACTTATGATTATCGTAAATTTTGCAGGAGAGTAAATGAAAAAATAGTTCTTACCGGTTGTTCATTGAAATTAGCAACTTGGTCGAAAAAAAATTTCACGGGCCCGTGCGTAGGTACCAAGAATACCTGGGGGCTGAGTTTGAGCTCATTAATACTCACTTGGATGGGGAACATCCCCTTA